GGGGGAGGAGGAGTAGCTCCCGTTCGATTTATGAATTTCTCGTAATATTCTATTTATCGAATATTATTTATAAGGTTATATTTATTTTATTATTAGTCGCGATGTCGACTTAAATAAAAGGTTGGAGTACTCGATCGTTTTATTGAAAAACGTCCATCGTTAGTTAATTTCAGTTTAATCGCGTGAACCGAATATAATCCATTTGAATAATGAATTTTTCGGATATTTCGGCGTTATTAATATTGTTAATTTATTTTTTTCCCGAGCGTTATATATGTTCGGATTTTATGGAATTGAGCCCGATAAACCGGTAGTCGAAACCGACCGATTCGTAAACCTGTTGTTTACAAATTATTTGGGACTATTATTATTTTTATTTATTCTAAATGTCTAATTTGCCTAATTATTAATATGTATTATAAGTGTGTATTATTAATAAATATTATTATGTGTATTATATATATATAATCTTCCGGTTTTATTGTAATTGTCGAGCTTTGATTATTCTTTTATTGATGAACCGAGTTTCCGTCACAAACCAATTGAACCACGCGTCCTGAGCCCGTGTGCACCCGGTTCGGCCCCTTTCTCTCTCTCCTATGTAGCTTGTTGGCTAAGTTAAGAAGACATAGTCTTATAAATAGGAGAGATTATTCTCTTATGATCGACAAAAAAACCCTCAGCTACCGCAGCCCTCTCCCTTCCTCTCTCCCGTTCTATCTCTTCCACCTTGTCTCTCGCAAAAACTGATTGCTCTCCATCCCTCTCTTATTGCCATCATTGTTGCCTTTCTCTCGCAAGACCAACGCCACCGGCACCACCATTCAGACCACCCGCGTGACCCGAGCGAGCATCACCCGGGCCATAATCGCAGCACCCCCTGTTCGCGTGTGCGGTCCCAGGCAATCGCTGCAGTCCGTAAGATTGTTGTTCGCATGCCTCTGTTGCTGCCCAACGCTCCCGCATGCCTCTCCCACGCGGGTAGCGAGTCACGTTTGGCCTCCCTTGCTCGTTTTCGTACCCTTTTTCCTTGAGAACGGTACATGAGGCCCAGCACCCCCTTATTTTCCATGCGTATCCGAGATTGTTGTGATTATTGTGATTATGTGATGCTTTGAGATAGAAGTGTATGTTTTGAGTTGAAATCGAATTGAAAACTCCATGTTAGAGCCTCTGTTTGTGCTCAGTTTTTTGTTTGTCCCATTTTTGTTGCATTTTTTGTTGTCATTTTGCCTTTCTTTTACCCCATATTAGGTCTTTTCGTTGTTTTTTTTAGTTTGTTTTGTAGCTTATTTCGTGGTTTGCTCTATTTGGGTATTTCTTTTGTTTCTCGTGTGTTTTTCCGATTTTCTTTTATTTTTGGTGTGCAGGTCGGAAGCCCCGTGAAGAATGGATTTAGCCCGAAAATTAGTCGGGCAATCATGGTTGTGAAGATGGGTTCGTTGGCGACATATAGGAAGAAGCGTAACTCAATTTCGAGCTCGGACGAGCCCGAACGGGCTCAAACAGCAAAGTCGCGCAAATCACGTTTTTGGTATGCATGTCACAACCTTTGTGAGGACAGGTTTTCAAGAAAATATTTGATGGGTTTGCATAGTTAGATAGAGGGGTTCGTTAGCGACGCGTAGAAAAAAGCAGAACTTAATTCCGAGTTCAAACGAACCCGAACGAGCAAAAATCGTAAAGTCGTGCAGTGCAGCCCAGTTTTCTTCGCCGCGGCCGCGACCCCTTTCTTCACCGCGGCCGCGGCGAACAAAAAACTGCAAGCGCCCAACCTTCTGCGGAAAAATGTCGCGGCCTCGGGAATAGTCACGGCCGCAGAGCCTTTTCTCACCGCGACCAGCGAGAAGCTCCACGGCCGTGGAGGGCGCGACAGGCAGCTTTTTAATAGCAAAATTTAGCTTTTGTTGGGATTATTCTCCCCCTCCTGGGGATGAACCTAGGGAAAGAAAACACGCAAAAACTCCTCTATTCCCCTTCTTCTCCCCTCTTCTTCTTCTTCTTCTTCTTCTTCTTCTTCTTCTTTCTTCCTTCTTCTTTCATCTTTCTCTTCCATTTTTTCTTCCTCTTTTTTATTGGAATTCAAGGATTAAACTTTGTAATTTTGGATTCAACACTCGAATTGCGATTTATTGTAAGTTCTTCTCTTTATTTTTAATTCACGAAAAATGATTGAATTGAGAGAGATGATTGATTGTGTTGAATTGATATTGCGTAGCTAATTCTTATTGCTAGGGATAGGGGATGATTGTTCTTGTTTAACTCGTATCTCTCGGGCTTGAATTGTTCGTTCTTGTGTGGGTTGAGTTGATTCAGAATTGTTGAATTCTTGTTCAATAGATTGATATAATCGAAAAGTGACATTTTGATCTTGCTATTGGTGACAACTGGATGTTAATTTGTCGAGTTAGGGTTTGTTGATTCTATGTAATTAGTTGATTAAACTTCTTCTAATTGAATTAGCGATTTTTTAGACCCAAAAGGAGAGAAGTCGTAGACCTAGGCTTGCATGAGGTAGACGATGTCACAACTGATTAGTCTATAAGTTTTGGGTTGAAATACGCACTTGTTGATGACCCATCCCTTGTTACGAAAAGTTTTTGGGATTGAGATAATTGGCATGTGTCGTATGATTGAGTTTGTTCGTCTATGTTCAGTCTCTTGTTACGAAGAGTTATTGGGAGCGAACCGCTAGATGTTTAAGCGAGAGCATCAAAATAGAATAGAATGATTCATGTCTCGGTGTGGGAGTAGAACTTGAATTAATTCCCCGACTCCCTAGTTTCTCCATCTTTGTTTCGTTTGCATTTTTAGGTAGATTATTATTTTTATTTTATTTCTTAGTTAATAATTCATTCAAACGGCTATCTGATTAGAGTGTTTAGGATCTATTTTCTTTTTATGTGTGATTGATTCCAAAGCTGAATTCCGAACCGCCTTCCTCGTGAGATCGACCTGGGAACGAATCTTTCGATTCGGTACTCGGTAAAAAATAACAATTTGTGCTACAACATTTTTCTCAACCAAGAAGCCGTTTCTTGGACAAGTGTTTTTCATGTGAATTGTAGTATTTTGAGTTAGGGTTCAGTAAGTTTTGGAATTTTGCAATTTGGAGTTGATCTGAATTTGTTATGAATTTTTGAAGTTGAACATGCATTCTGTTTGTAGAAATCCAGGTAGGTTTGGTGATTGTGATGTTAGGCTGATTTTGATGATTCTAATGTGGCTATATGTGTAACACCCCGAGTTTATTAATAAAGGAAAATACTAGCTTTACAGTATAAGCTAG